GCAGGTGCAGCACTTTGTGAACCTCCATGTGCAGATTTCGTGGCAGGTGCAGCACTTTGTGTACCTCCCGCAGGCACAGCACTTTGGGAACCTCCATGTGCAGATTTCGTGGCAGGCGCAGCATTTTGTGAACCTCCCTGTGCAGATTTCGTGGCAGGCACAGCACTTTGTGCACCTCCATGTGCAGATTTCGTGGCAGGTGCAGCACTTTGTGAACCTCCACGTGCAGATTTCCTGGCAGGTACAGCACTTTGGGAACCTCCATGTGCAGATTTCGTGGCAGGTGCAGCACTTTGTGTACCTCCATGCGCAGATTTCGTGGCAGGCACAGCACTTTGGGAACCTCCATGCGCAGATTTCGTGGCAGGTGCAGCATTTTGTGAACCTCCCTGTGCAGATTTCGTGGCAGGCACAGCACTTTGTGCACCTCCATGTGCAGATTTCGTGGCAGGTGCAGCACTTTGTGAACCTCCACGTGCAGATTTCCTGGCAGGTACAGCACTTTGTGAACCTCCATGTGAAGATTTCGTGGCAGGCGCAGCACTTTGTGAACCTCCATGTGCAGATTTCGTGGCAGGCACAGCACTTTGTGCACCTCCATGTGTAGATTTCTTCGCAGGCGCAGCACTTTGTGAACCTCCATGTGCAGATTTCGTGGCAGGCACAGCATCCGGGGAGCTGGAAGCTGAGAACTGGCGACTTTGTAGTACAACTTTAGTACGCGGAGTATGTGGCGAGCTGGACGATGAGAACTGGCGACTTTGTAGTACAACTTTAGTACGCGGAGTATCTGGCGAGCTGGACGATGAGAACTGGCGACTTTGTAGTACAACTTTAGTATGCGGAGTATCTGTGGAGCTGGAAGCTGAGAACTGGCGACTTTCTAGTACAACTTTAGTACGCGGAGCTATCTGTGCAGCTAGAAGCTGAGAACTGGCGACTTTGTAGTACAACTTTAGTACGCGGAGTATCTGTGGAGCTGGAAGCTGAGAACTGGCGACTTTCTAGTACAACTTTAGTACGCGGAGCAATCTATAGCGCTGGAAGCTGAGAACTGGCGAGTTTCTATTACAACTCTAGTACGCGGAGCAATCTGTAGAACTGGAAGCTGAGAACTGGCGACATTGTAGTACAACTTTAGTACGCGGAGTATCTGGCAAGCTGGAGGATGAGAACTGGCGACTTTGTAGTACAACTTTAGTACGCGGAGTATCTGTGGAGCTGGAAGCTGAGAACTGGCGACTTCGTAGTACAACTTTAGTACGCGGAGCAATCTGTAGAGCTGGAAGCTGAGAACTGGCGACTTTCTAGTACAACTTTAGTACGCGGAGCAATCTGTAGAGCTGGAAGCTGAGAACTGGCGACTTTCAAGTACAACTTTACGCGGAGCATCTGGGGAGCTGGAAGATGAGAACTGACTGGCGACTTTCTAGTACAACTTTAGCACGCAGAACAACCTGTGGAGCTGGAAGCTGAGAACTGGCCACTTTGTAGTACAAGTGTAGTACGCGGAGGAGTCATCTCTCGCTGCTGAGTCAGCTCTCGCTGCTGTGAGTCATCTCTCGCGACTGAGTCATCTCTCGCTGCTCAAGTATCTCTCGCTGCTGAGTCAGCTCTCGCTATAGCCATCTCTCGCTGCTGAGTCATCTCTCGCGGCGTGCAGGTTTGGCACAGTTCATACCGATAGTATTTGGTTGCATTTATGCAGGACAGGACACTCAACTGCTGGTCAATACACCACTCATCATACACCACTCAGCATACACCACTCATCATACACCACTCGTCATACACCACTCATCATACACCACTCGTCATACACCCTCTTGTCGTGGCAAAGATACAACCCAGTACGCTGTTGTGAGCTGCTGATCCTGCAGGGGGCACACACCTTACACACGTGGAATCCCGTGGGTCAAAAGTCCGGAGCGCGTGCGTTTGACTGGAGGACGCGCATGTTGGAGAGAACGTGGACACTCCTATAGGTCAATTTGTTCTTATAGGAAACTTCCGCCGCCGGCTTGCCCGGGAACTACTTGTATTGTTAGTCTGGCTCATTGTCAAGACAGACGCAATTGTCGTGCATGTTTGCGGTACAATAGAGTTTGCCATTGATAGCAGCAGGGCCAGCGGCACCAGCACCTAGGCTCCAAAGCGCAAACTGCCGTGCAACCGTTAATGAGAAGGCCATCCGGTCTTCATGACATCGTGGGGACGGCAACTTGGTCTCGAATGCCCTCCGCTCCTTGATATGCTGCCAGAGGTAGTTTGAGGAAGCTCACTTGTCGAACAATGGCACGCGCCACAGCTTTTGCGAGGGCTTGTGTGGATGGTGCCTGTCAGAATGAGATGAGAGGCAACTGCGATCCCGCCTTCGGTTCATTGCTGGAGAAAGTGTTTCGCTGACATGTCGCAACCACGACCGGAAATCCCAGAAAATCTTCGCGAATGGTTTATCACAGGCGTGGAGCTGACAGCCTTGGACACGCACCCACAGAAGAATGGTCCGGGCAACTTGACAAAGATGCGAGTGGCCGAGGTACAGCTGACTTTGGTTCGGCAAGGCATGCCCAACGTTTCACCTTTCACCTTCGGTGACAGACTTCAGTGGCTCGCATATGGACAGACCAAGGCAGTCTTTGCTTTTACGCACGTACCATGGGTTCTCAAGTTCGTGCCTCGCATCAGACGGAATGCCCCAACCTTCAACCACCCATGTATGCACATCCCATTCTGGATGATATGATGTGTGGGGCGAATGCGCAGAGATCGGTTGCTAGAAGCCTCCACTGGTGGGGGACATACCAGCACACATTTGGCAGGCAGCATCCAGGCTCCAGAGCGCACACAGGCACCTCCTCCTATACTTGAAGTAGGAACCCCAAATAGGTCTTGCTACCAGGGGAAATATTTGAATTAGATTTTTTGGACCCTTGAATACAAAGATAGATATGACCTTCACCAGGTTCTTTGTCATCGCTTAAACATACTTTGCCAGTGCGGTCATTGATCTCTTGTTGGAGCATTACACCGGCAGTCCATGAACATCTTGCATAAATCAGCTACAAAGTAGCTTTGTGAATTGCGCCAACAGTAACTTGCAATCAGACAAAGCATGGTATAGCCACATGTCAGTACAACTCATCATGTTCAGTAAACTATATAGCATATGTTTTGCCGGTCCTGACCTTGAGCCAATTGAGCCAAGAGCTGCAACAAACCCAGATGGTCTGAGTTAAACACTGCGAGCTGGAATAGCTTGAGCCTTGACCGTTTGTCTCTGTGGCTTACTTCATAAATGCACAAACTGTTTGGGGTCCACGCTGGAAAAACAGGAATTCTGGAGACTGACGAACCAGGTAATCTAAAGAACGGGAAGATTTGTTGTAGCTGTGGGTGCCAAAAGATTTGGAAATTTGGTGGTTCAGCACGGGGGTTTGCTCAGGTTTTCTACAGTTCCCCGAAGGCACCCGTCGCTTGGGTCCCTCCAAGGCTTTTGAGATATCGCGAGACCGCCAAAGGGTTTCTGAGAAGTGCGTCAATGTTGGGCGGTGAATTTGAGACAAAATTGGAGTAGTTAAGGGGTCATGGTTGGCCGTTCTCACCCTCTCCAAACCTTCCACTCCGCCACTGCGCCGCGCGGTCAGCGCGGTCAGCGGTCATCAGGTGGTTTTCGCCTGTGTGGTGCTGAACCTGGCCGCCAGTGGGTCACCCGGTTGCAGTGATCACCCGGTTGCAGTGATGACCATTCTTGGTGAAGTTGTTGGACAAGGTATGGTCGAGATCGGGGGAGGGGCTAACCCCCGAACAGACCCACGTTGGCCGGTTGAAGGGGTTCTTCCTTCTTCGGTTCCACTTCCCCTGCGCATGCCGCGCCTGAGGATTTTGCCTGTGGAGATTGCACCCTGGGAGCTCGACCGCTGGCGTGTGCGGCCGGCGTAGGGGACGCCCAAGAAGGAAAGGGCAAGGATTGCAAAGGCTTGGTAGAAAACAGGCATGTACATATATTTAAGGAAGAAAAAGTGTCTTGGTTTTTTGAGGGTCACATTGACATGCAATTGTATGATTGGAGGAAGAGGGAGAGTATTGGGAAAGAATGATTTTTACTGCCAGATGTTCCCTAGCCGCCCTAGCGTCTATCCAATCTATCCAACAAACATTGACGACGCGGATAGTTTGGTTGGTCCACTTCCATGATTGTGGGAAAGTTGTTAATGTACTGAACAACGCCCTTCGTTGCTCAGGCTTAGTTGGATTTGCCTTCTGACTACGTGATTTAACGCGTCCACTGGAGAAAAAAGGGTGTGGGATCTTGAAGCAAACCGAGGCCAGACACTTCCGATTCGAAAGGTGGTCATAGCTGGTCAGACACTTCGTGGGCTGGACCGATGTGGCAAGGGTCTTTTTTGGGGGGGAGCGGGGACGGACGTCTTGGGGACTCTCTTCGCCTCTTTTAATTTCCCATGGCAGATCCAAAGTTGGGAGGTGTGTCAGAGTTGAATCGCATCAAGAAAGACTCGGAAAAAAATATCAACAAGCCAGAGTGCAGCCCACGGACCCATAGGCCGACCGGACCCAGTTGGTGCACGTCTTCAGCTCAAGATTTCTCCGTGGGAGCCGAGGCCCAAGAGCCCGCCACAGGTGAGGGGAGGAACTGGAGGGCTGTTCAAGGAGTGTCCTTTCAATACTTGGTGGGCTCTTCTGTTTCTTGCTGCCTTCCTGCAGCTTCTAAAGGCTTCAGTGCGTGTTTCACGACTGTTTGATGCCCTCAGAGGGCAATGCCAAAAGACGCACCCGTGCCATGCTTGCCAGGGATGGCTTGGCCACGGGTTGTGACTGTTGATAGCCACTTTTTCGAAATTCAATATCTGCAATTCTAGACGTTGACTTAGAGACTTATAGCTGAATCCCGCATGTGTGGCTCTTCTTGTATGGACATTAGTTTTGTCTTACTATCTGTAACAGTCAGTACACAATGATCACTATTTTGGGACAAGGCCTGCAACCTAACCATCATCATTTCACTGAAGCCTGGTAGGATAGACCCAATATATATGACATGACTTCCGTTGCTCCGTCTGGTGTTTCTAGCTGGACAGGAAGTTAGAGAGCCAAAAAAGCCCACCTCCAACGCTACCTGCTGTGCCGACGACGGTTTCCGCGGTGTCGCCGGTGTACCGGGAGGGGTCCGAGTCACAGGTGACCAGAATAGCATCCTTGCTACTAATAGCGATGACCTCTACCTAGTAGCTTCTTGTTACTATAGTTGTAATGCCAGGAGCTACGTTGCGTCCGATTGCTCCGTTCGTAGGGATGCCCAAAAAAATGTTACTAGTAGCTTCTTGTTACTAGTAGCTACTTGCTCCTAGTAGTACGGCCAGGAGCCCCTATTAGCGTCCTTGCTCCGTTCGTAGCGATGCCAGGAGCCCCTAGCAGCTTCTTGTTACTAGTAGTAAGGTGCATGCCATTTGGGGTTCGAACACCCGGACCTGAGGGGTACCGGGAAGTCTCAGCCTCGGCACCGGGGAAAGATAGGATTCTTGTCCGAAAGGCTCTTCGGAACTGATTTCTAGCAACAAGAAGCTACTAGGAACAAGTGCATCGCTTCTAGTAACAAGTGCCTTACTAGTAGTAACAATGTTTGCTATTAGAAGCAAGAAGCTAATAGCTTCTTGTTACTACTAGTAAGGCACTTGTTACTAGTAGCGTAGCACTTGTTACTAGTAGCGAAGGCGATCACATTCATGGTGTTTCTCTGCCTCACCCAGAGTTGAAGCCTGCCCCTTTGCTCATTTGCAGCACTTTCAGATACCCTGTGTCCTTCCCTTTCTCCTGTGGCACCCACCGCATGTCAGGGTGGTCGACCTTGGTTGCGATGGGTCTGGAGCTCAGTCATTGGCGGTGAGCAAGTTCTATTGGTGGAAACGGCATGAGCCTTTTTTTATTGGATCCAATTGCTGTAGTATGTTATATCTTGATCATGAGCAGCGGTAGGCATGAGCTGGAATCGTCCATAAGTCATTGTAATGGATCTTTACCTGGAAGCCCAGTCCCAACCAGAAAGAGTTCTGGATGGAACTCCAAAGTCCCAGCCATTTCGTACGTAAAGGATCTCAAGTTGGCACCATATTGGAACGACCATTTGCTTTGTCTCAACAGTCTCAGCCTGCCAATGGCACCCACAAACTCACCGGTCGACGCTGAACCTGGCGGGCAAAATACCTGCCGCTGTCAACTCCATTGACTAGACGTTTAGATGATGTTTTCCGATATGTTTATGTTCGACCTTTTCTTAGGATGATTGAAGCCAAGTGACTTGAAACCACCAACCAGTCGACCTCGGGCGCGTGCCGTTTGCTTCGTGCTCTGGCGGCGGCGATCTCCGTGGATCCTGGGACTCCGAGAGCCGGTTGAGGGCAAAAGCGGCCAGCCTCATGGGTCCTCCCTGGAAGACTCATGGGTCCTTCTGGAGTGAAAACCAGTCTTTGAAGGGGTGATGCCATCCACGTTGACCAGGGAGTGTATCCAGGCAGTGGAAGACCAGATTCATGGTGTGTATTTAGCCGTTTGGTGAGCCGTTGGACCCTCCTTTCAATGTTGGACCCAGTGGAATGTAGCCAAGAGTGAGCTGCGTGCCTTGCAGAAGTGAGCTGCGTGGCACCACAACAGATGGGCGACATGACCCCCCCGGCCCCTTCTTCGTGTCGTGTATCGATTGGATCGAAGGCGACGTTTTGGTCGGTTCACGTCTCATTCAAATGGTTGCTTGGGATTGGCGAGGAGAGTTTCTCCTTCACCCAACACGTGGGTTGTTGCCCCCTTTGTTCACCAACTGCCAAATGTGCAGGGTGGGACCACTGACACTGTCAAGATCACAGCTCCAGCTTCACGATGTTTCACGATCTTTGGCTGTTGGTTGGTGCTTTTGGAAGGCCAGAACGAGTGCATCGCTGGATCCCAGGGTGCCCATCCGCTCAGCGGCACCCCGCGTTCGTTGCGCTCTGAGGAGTTGCCGGAGCAAAGCGACACCGCCGAGGAGATGCGATCGGTGGCAGCGTCGACGGAAAACGAACACCGGGATGGTCGGACCCGGGGGGGCGCCCACTCACTCAGCTGGACTGCTAGTTATCCAGTGCATTTGGCCACCAGGAGCTGGACTGCCATTTCTCGAAGTCCGTTGAAGTCAGTTGGTCCTTTTTGCGATCGGCCATGGCACCAGACCTTCCTAATGAATGACGAGCGAGTCACTGAGACGATCGAGCGGGTCCGACCGTGAACGTTCTGGCGAAGCAACATTCGAGTCGCCGCTATGTCGAGGCAATGTGATGGGGATGGAAATTCCTGATTTTGAAGGCTAATTTCTTCTTTTGAGCCTCCTTCAATTCATGATCTTCCACTGGGTTGGATATGTCGAGTCATATCAATCGAAGCTTGACCAAACGAGTCGTATCAGTTCGATGCTTGAGCGCGCCCCGTCGTGGTAGGAGTCTCAGCCACGATGTTTGTCCCTTGTTCCCAAGGTGCAAACGCACCAGAGCGGCGGCCCAGAACCGTTCGCTCGGAAAATGTGATGTCATGGTTTTTGCTGGGCCAACCCGACAAATTTCTGCTTTGGTACACTCAACCGTGCCATCCGATGTGCCTCAAGACATGTGCCAACCCGACGGACGTGGAGGCCTTGAACCCATTCAGGGGTCATTATGGAAGGGCTCAAGAACAAGTGGATCAATGCCCAATAATTCCAACGATCCAGGACCGAGCAATTCCCAAAAGGCGGAGAGTAATTCCGTCTGTGCTTTCGGTGCGCACATGGTGCTTTGCTCTCGGGGAGCTGCTACATGCTGGGCCCTCAAAAGCGGCCCAGCCTTCTGTCAGGAGGCGGTCTTCTTCGAGCCGGATGATGCCAGCGTCAAGGTCCGACCGCCGGGGCAAGAGACTGGTGGTGTGCAACAGGTGTCCTTGAACCTTTGTTTTCAGGGGATACATTTTTATCCCCTTTTCAAGAGTTTTTCCCGAAAGCACCTGCGAAGGGTTCTCCTTCAAGAATGGCTACCAACTTCAACTATCGAACAATAATCACCATGATTGACCATGATCATCATCATCATCATCATCAGCAGCATCAAAATAACCATCTTTATATGAAGTTGCAGAGATGCACGTGGTTGATATGATTGTCACGGGTCATCATTATCAAGTGCATAGGTGCAGGGGTAACACCTGGTATATCACATCTACATAGATACAGGTATCGAGACGCAGGAGAAGAGGTATAGGTGATACAGGTGTTGAGATACAGGTGATGCAGGCGTTAAGATGTGGGTGACGACACCTACAAAATTCACCTGCACAACTATATACCGCTTCGAAATCGTTATTATTGCTCTTAAGGCGGCGGGCAGGCTGGGCCGATGCTCACGAAACGAAACACAACCCTTTGCGGAAAATGTGGTGCGAGTCGAGTGCTCAAACGTGAGGTGAAGTGCGAATTTTGTTGCCAAAGTGTGTAACTGTCGTCAAAAATGAAAGTTTGTGTAACAGTCGTCGAAAACGAAGGTGGAGGTTGCCAAATTGCGTAACTGTCGTCGAAAACATGGGACTGGCGTGAAGCCTTTCACGCTTTCACACATGTCATGTGTCTGCTCACGACAGGCCATTGAAAGCCCTGCTGGTAGGTCACAGGATCGCATCAGCTTTGGAGGCTGAGGCTTCAGGAGATGAAATTGTCCAGGTCGCATCGTTGTTCAATATATGACTCATATATTCTGTTGCAACAAAACCACCTCCCTTTTCATCTGCTGTTGTCTTCCGGTCTTGCCGGCAGGTTGAAGACGCATCTTCTACGGCCTGCAAGAACCAAAGAAGAGCTCCGACGTGTCTCGGGGCGTGCGCAATTCCAGAGTGGCAATCACTCAGTTGCTCTCTGTTGTCAACATGGCATTGACGAGAACAAGGATGCAGCAGGATGAGAGTCTGACAAAGGCAAAATATTACCGGATGCAGGCGCAATATGAGGCAGACCTGTACAGTCTGAAGCGGGAGGTCAAGAGACACGAGGACGGCTTTGAGGACGAAAGGGTCCTCACAGGAGTTGCAGAAAAGCTTCTGAGCAAGAGTGGAGGATTTGCGTCCCAACAGTGGGACTTGAGCGATGAAGTGCTGCTTGACATTGAATTTCGTGGAGAGGGTGGCACGCGGGATGCTCGAATCCTGCTGCTGCCTACAGTCAAGAGTTTGGCACCAACGCTGGACGCCTATGATCGCAAAACTCCTCGGGGTGGGAGGTAGGGCTATGGCAACCTGCAACGTGTCATGCTCGGCTGGCCCTCAAGCTTGACGACCTGCATCACGCAGCGAGCCTCTTCATCCTTTTCGCCAAGAAGAGGACGACGCCGGATGGCTCGTCCCTGGCACTAATCTGTTGACAAGGTCACAACCAGCTGCAGATGCAGACTTGATCTCAGTACTTCGGAGGCAGTGCTTGCACTGCGGGGTGGACAGTGTGTTTGTGTGAGTCCGTGCCACTGCCAGGGAACCGGATGATTGGCAGTGCCCACGAGGTTTGGTGTTACATTGTTGTATCTAGTCTGTGGCACACCGTGCAGCGAAATGACATCTGCGATGTCGCTGTGCCATGCGGTTTTGCGGGGCCGCTGTGGAAAGTGCGTTTGCGTGAGTGCGCGCCAGCGCGGGAAGGAAAACATGCTGGTGTAAATGCGGCCTGTCGCTGGCGAGCGGGATGATTGGTGACGCCCACGATGCGTGGTGTTTGTTGCGTCTAGTCAGCACACCGTGTGGACAAATTTCGTCGACACCGCTTCATTGTTGAAAACACCGCTGCCAGGGCTACAAGTTCACACCTCCCTACCGGCTCCGTGGGCGATGGCTTCTCCCTGCGATCCTTGGTGATGACATCCGGCGGCGGGATCGGGGGGTTCTGCATCCTGCAGAGACACGTCAGAAGCCAACGGTCAAGTCCAAACTTGGAGGTTCCACGGGGGTGGCCCGTGGTGTGTTTTATTTTGTTTGTTCTCTTCACGCTGGCGTACTCAACGGGCTACTCTTGCCCGACGATTCACCTGCACCCGGTTTCATGTCGGTTTTTCCATTGGTCGTGAAAAGAGAAAATCGAATCCCAAAGGAAATACATTGAAGGGTCTAGGTTGGCGTGTAGCTGAAACAGGTTAGCGTTGGTGTCTCCCTCAGATTCGTTTTTGACAGAGAATCTCGGCCAGAAAGTTTGAAGAAAGTTATGGGGTTCGCCCTGATTCAGCTTAGTCCCCAGAACAGGTTTCAACACGGCGGGGGAACCAGTGACCGTCAACCGCATACCTCTTCGTAGATTGTTTTGGGCGAACGTGGCGGTGTCGCACAGAGCATGTTATGGAGCTAAACATCCATTTGGAAGCCAGGAACTCTGACGCAAAGAAGTAATTGTATGCCAACTCCTTCGGCGAAGATCAATGAAGAGTTTGCCTATAGCTAGATGATGCTAGATGGTTGTTTTCAACACTGTCGTCACTCGGTTTTCATGGTCTTCATCCACCGGACGGCATGGACACATCTGAGTCGCTCAGAAGACCCTCAAATCAATCTGACCTTCCAGCCGCCAGGAATCGGCCCCGCGGACGATCCTCACCACCCGTGAAAACAGCGCTCCAAACGGAACTCGGTTTCAGGACGGAACTCCTCGAGCGATGGCAGCAACCGCTGGTGGAGGAGCTGATGGGGAAAAGAGAGCTCGTTCAATCACATGGGCACCCGAGTGATCCAAGTCTTAGTCGCAAATGAAAGTGGCACCTAGAAAACAGGAGGTGTCCATACACCCGAATCCATCAGGAATCCTCCAATTTCCATTGGTACCACGCCGCTTTCCGTATCGCGTTGACCCATGAGGAGTTGGTCTTCCATCCGTTGACCCCGTGGAGCAGCCGGACGTTGCCAGTGCCCGTCCGCTTCGAGGCGCCCCGCCCCGGGCGAGCGGTTTCTCAAAAAGGTGGTGCAAAAGGGACTTCGTGAGAGGAAGATCTTGGACAATTTTTTGGGGAATTAAAAAAATCTGAAGGAAAAAAACACTGATAAAATCATTGAAGTCATCGTGGACCATCAGTCCATGATTTTCTCGGTGGGTGACAACTCGAAGTGAACTCCTCCTACTGAGTAAGGTGACTATAGTTACTACGTAGTTCGCAGCCCGTAGTTCGCTCCTAGGAACGCAGGATAGCTCACACTCGCATGAATGATTTGGGAACTTCACAAACGGTAACGGATCTCTCTTGGCACTGTCCTTGGCACTGCGCAAGCGCTATGCGAGCGGCGAGCGCGTTTTTCCGTTGCGGGGCTGATCTGTTCCCGTCTTTGGGATGTGTGGAGCAGCTAGATAGCAAGAAGGCACCATGAGACACCATGAGATATGTAGGGATCAGTTTGGAGGAAAAGAAAATATCCAGGTGCGAGAGGATGACAAGTTGTTCTTTTGGGGGAGAAGCTTCCTTCGGAATAAACTATTAGTAACAAAGGGCATCGATACTAGGAGCAAGGACGCTACGAACGTAGCTCCTGGCCTTACTACAAGGAGCAAGAAGCTACAAGGAGCAAGAAGCTTCCTTGGGAATCGTTTCACTGGCAATCAAGGGCTCTTCGTCTCACTGTTGGGCCTCTCCCCGTCGATCAGCGGGGTCGTCGGACCGCGAGTCGTCCGCGAGGCGATGGTGAGACACTTGCAACAGCAGCGATTCTTCCGGAGGTTGCCTGGCACAAGAGTACACCAATATGATTTGGATGGGGATTTTGAGGAGGCTCGTGAGGTCCTGTGAACGAGGTGAATTGGTGTCCCTTTTGTCCTGAGAGGATGTTACCCCGCTGTAGATGGTGATTCTTCTGAGGGCCTACTGCCTTCACAGCACCCGACAATGGAAGCATGTGGGTTGTCACCCCTAGCAATGTCGTTATGAGAACGTGACCAGGGTGTATCCCAAAAATGTCCCCTCACATCAGTAAGAACCTCAGAGAATGCCAGAATGATATGTCAATTCTACACCGGTCTTGACTTTCTCGCTATCTGTGACCTAGGCCGCCTAGCGTTTCCAAAAAGGTTGACCCCACATCGAAGACGCACGAACTCGCCGAACCTCCAACCTCACGAGGCCGGTGCCGCTTCGCAGGGTCATGGCGGAGTGGCAGCAGACCACGGCCAAGGAGCAGGTGGGACCCGCAAGCGGGGAGGAGGTGGGAGATAGCAAAAGCCATGCATTACTCCAAGGAATCCCAAGCAATGGAGCAAACTAAGGACAGGACCTGGACCGCGCAGACATGCCCAGCCTGAAAAGGCAGGAACTTGAGCAACAGGGCTTTGCTTGGCGAAGAGGGCGGAACTTGGGCATGGCTACAGATGCCCTGCCCAGCTTCACACCAGTTCGAGCATACGAGTTCGCTCCGAAAAAGCGACAAAAGCACCGTTCGCATCACACGATGGCCACCTGTTTGCGCACCTGGTCCACGGTCCTGGTGGAGTGTCCGCCCACACGCTCGGTCCTCGTTCCTTTGCCATCTCGGCGAAAACGCCGTCCCCGACACTTGGTGTCGTGTACTACCGGACCTGCACTGCATTGCTGTTTGATGCATGTGGCACACACAGCTCTTGACATGTCCATGGGTGGGAGTTCTTACTCCAACAAACACAGCGTCGTAGCGTCCTTGCTCCTAGTACTAAGGCCAGGAGCCCCTAGTAGCGCTCTTCACATGAGTTCACAGCTCTTCGACCAAATGCAATCCTTGCGGAAGCTTCAGCTGTCGACGGAGCTTTTGTGGATGGAGACTTCTGCTGATGTGGCCTCCTCTCACAATGCTCCGTGAGGTGTTGTGGTGTATCATGACTTGCCACCTAACAAGCATACATCATGAACATGTGTTGACGTATCATGCCAATCGCAACAAGTCTTTTGATTCGATGGTGCTGGGCCATGAATGTTCCCAATCAGTTGCATGCTATGTCAGTGGATTTCTTCTTTTGGTATACAGTAGAATGTTTCATCAGTTTGGGCTGTTTGGCAACCATCATTGGTTGGTAGGATGTGTTCTGCCCTCCACCTGGCCCCAGCCTCTGCCCTCCCCCCCCACACAACCAGAGAAGCGTTGGGGCATGGGTGAAGTCGGGGATCGGTGAAGGAAGTCGGGGCACACGGAGAGGTAGAGGTCTCTGGCCGTGGAACCGTCGTTAGTTTTGTGTGTTTTCTCAAACATAGTACTGCCACGAAAAGGAGGGAGTCGGGAATATCCCATATTCTTTGCCCATTGCCACCGCCTTGCAACGTCAGTGGACCCACATGCTGCTTCAAATGTTGAGAATTCACACCCAGTGTTCAAGATCTGAAAACATATCTCTCCCCACAAGTTCCAAAAAAAACAAGTGTTGACGACATGAGAAGGAAGTCGGATCATCATCCGAAATGCACAAGAGTTCCACCCACCGGGGCCGCGTTCGGGCCAGGCCGCGGGAATCCGACGGGCTTCAGTCGTCCAGGTGCGGCGGCAGAGGCGGCAGAAGGAGAGCAAGATGACGAAAGAGACGAAGGACCTGATGTTGTTCGAGTTCAGGTGATGGTTCTTCAGTGGTCTTTTTTTCAGACGCACCAGTTTCTTATATTCTGTTGCTATGTCTGGGTGAAGTTCATCATTTGGGTTTGGTCCCCTGAAGTTCTCTGAAGAACGCGGTATTCTCTTCTCGATATACTTGGGAGTTACAGAAGTTTCCCCTGTGACGCCAGGCAGTAAAGAACGGGTGTTGACCATTCAAAAGTCGCGAGCCACTTTCCTGGCCGACTTCGGGCACAACGGGCAGGGGGTGGACAGAATCAAAGGAGACCCATGAGTAGAACAATCACAATTCAGTAAAGAATCGTCCCGACAAGGTGTGTCAAAAGGTTTGCTTCTCTCTATAGGAAGAGAAAGGCCATTGGCTGGAGAAGGCACGTCAAGAAGCAAGACCATCAAGATCTAAACAATCGGACAGCACAATCAATGCTGCCGATCAAATCGCTGGTCAGAAGCCTTTTGGATCATCGTAGTGGTTACAGCTCATCCCGGTGACTGGGCGAGTTGCTTGATGATCCGGGTGCGTCAAGTTCTTTGCTCCAGTTTTTGTTGATTCTCCTTTTTGGCGTGGCATGGTTTCAGAAAAGCCCGTGCGCCGAATGAGCAACGTATCCCGTTGCTCCCGAAAATCCAACGGAACCCCAACAAAATCCTCAACGGGGGAAGGCTATTGGAGGTTCTGTACCCACAAATCCAAGAGAAGAAAGATACCAAACAGTCTATGAATGTTTGGGCTGGTGGAAAAAGACGCCGGGTCTTCATTCAATGTCATTCACATCTTCAGATCCGCCCACCTCCGTCAGTCGCCGCACACTCCACGCCCTGCCAGCGACCAGGACGTCGCAGCGCGAGGGAAGGGCCGAGGCCGCGGACATATAGGCGGGACACGGCGGGACACGGCAGGACACGGGAAGGGCGAGACCTGGTGTTCGTTGAGGTGTTGCGGACGCTTGGAATGATGGCAGTCGTGGTCTTTCTGGGAACATCTGTTGCAGACAAGCGAGCGGTTCTGGGCGGGTTCTGCACGAGAGAGAGAGAGAGAGGGAGAGCTACGAATTGCTCAAGTGGGTGTTGAACCACCTTGGCCCGATGGTGGTGGATAGAAAAGGACCTGTTTGCAAAGGAAGCTGGTCCTTTTCGCATGTTGTACTCCATGTCACTAAGTCGGGTATGTACCCCACGTTTGCTTGTTTAATCACTGAGTTCCAACCTCCAGTCACCTGTTCGTCACATTTGCTTGTGCATGTAGGAGACCCCAAAAGCAAAGTGGCCTTCCAGTTGAAGTAGCTTCTTGCTACTAGTGGTAAGGCCAGGAGCTACGTTCGTAGCGTCCTTGCTCCTAGTAGCGATGCCCTTTGTTACTAGTAACTTCTTGCTACTACAAGTATGGCAATTGGACATGTTCATGCACGTTCTCTAGATCTTCCATTTTGTGGATGAATCCGAGTCAAGGGCTTGATTTGTAAGCCCGCAATATCGCTTCAAAACAGGGTCAGTCGCAGCTTTTTTGGTCTTTATGCAAGGAGAAGATGTCTTTCACCTCGTGCTTGAAGATTAGATCATAGGTTTGTGCTTGGCACCCAGCCCACAAGCCCCACATGTCACCATGGTTTCATAGAAGTTGCGATAATCCGTTGCAAAAACCATGTTTGGGAGCAAAAACGCTACTAGGAAGTAGGAACAAGAAGCTACGAACGGGGCTCCTGACATTGCTACTAGGAACAAAGGGCATCGCTACGAACGGAGCAAAGATGCTACTAGTAGCTCCTGGCCTTACTACTAGCAACAAGAAGCTACTAGGAACAAGTGCATCGCTTCTAGTAACAAGTGCCTTACTAGTAGTAACAATGTTTGCTATTAGAAACAAGAAGCTAATAGCTTCTTGTTACTACTAGTAAGGCACTTGTTACTACTAGCGTGGCACTTGTTACTCTACCTCACCGGGTGGATGCCGAGGCCGCTGGGCGATGCTCCGCTGCCGCCTGCGCTCCGTGGGGGGTGCCCAGTGACCATCGGACCAGGAGGGACTCGGGCGCGGAAGTGGCTGGTTGGAGGTCAACGCTCCTAGTAGCGATGCCCTTTGTTACTACTAGCGTGGCACCTGTTACTACTAGTAAGGCACTTGTTCCTAGTAGCTAAGAGTAAACGACAACGATACCAGCTCAATTGGTATGGATCGGTTTGGATCGGTTCTTCTGCCTGAGGACATTCTCCCGTTCACACGGTTCTTGCTACAGAACGCGCTTTGGCGATCAAGGGGGCCTCCCTGTCCTGCGTGAATAGCTGTCTTTGTTTCATCAGGCACGCACACGCAAGCCACTCCCACCGGGTTGATTAAGTCCAAAGGGATTGGTTCACTCCCACCTGCATTACTCGGGTTGCTCCCCCAAGTATTCCAGCGGACGATAATCAGTCGAAGGGTCATCGATTTGTCCTCTGGGGGAGACGGGGAGAACTGCAGATAGTTGCATTCAAGACGTAAATTAGTCCAAGTGACCACAGTGCTTGGTAAGTGTTCCATGTGACCAACCTAGGGTTTTGGTCTACAGCTCCTTGACCCACAGGCATATGATAGGATACACCTTGTGAGCAAGAGTCTCTACAATGGTTGATCCACATCTACAGCCATGCACTCCTCTACGGTTTTCTTTGCATCTCCGCACCACCGGGGGGGTCACCAGACCAATTGTAACGTGTCCCGAAAGATCTAGGAACCAAATCATGTGCGAGCGCTATCCTGTGTCCATATTTAGTAGCTGAAGTAGCTAGGAGCAGACTTCTCCCTTACTTAGGCGCCTAATTATATTATTGAGTAAGGATGAAGGGCCACCGGCTAAAAAAGACAAAAGAAGAAAAAGAACACAGAAGACCAAACTCGGTAGGAGCGGGCATCAAAGATTAACCAAAATAAAAATACCAACAACAAACACGGGCCCTCTCCAGGAAACCTCCGCCCACTCCTCGAGGCCTTGGAGCCCACGCCCTCGGTCACCGTGAGGCTGAGGCCACATCCGGTGAAGGAAGAAGTTTTGCATCACTTGAGACGCCCGATTGGAATACTTGGATACCTAATCCCCGTGAGACTGGCAAACGGGGTTGTCAGAGTTTTGAGCCGAATTCTTCCATGCATTGATCAGATTCTGTTTGGTCGCTTGGTAAGGATGTTTCTCTGTAGGCTCCGGTACAGATGAATCGCAAGTTTAAACAGTAGCGAATCCAAACCCTGTGGTATGAGACATGTGACATGCTCCAAAAAGAGGACCATAAAAATTACATTGAACGGGTCGCTATGTCGTTGTTGCAAAGTACTTTCCAGCTATTAGGTTGGAGGCCATCGCTAGTTGACGGTGCTTCACTCGAGTTAGTCCACGACTGGTGGACTTCGCACCACCTCTGGGAGGAGCGCGCCGGAGGAACTAGCTGCTACAGGTCACGGGACGAGCACCGTGAAAGACCAAAAACGCTCGTGGGCTACACATCCCCGTTCCAAGCTACGCCATCTCCAGCATCTCCCACGCCTCATGACTCCCCGCGGAGAAATACGGTTTGTCTTCGTCGTCACCTGTGTGTACAAGCAATGGTTTCCACAAGTCATGGCAGCCTCATGAGCACTCAAGAATGTGATATTTTCGTTGGCTAGACTTCTTTGATGGTTTCTCCTGTCGGACGTGATGGTTTCTCCACTGGAAACCGTGCGGAACACCGTGAGGCCTTCTTACTGTGCCGAAGTCGCTGTGCTGCTGGTGCTTTTCGCCTGGTTAGCCCTTGGAGTGAGGCCAGTACAGAAGTAAGTCGCTCGCTCGCGTGCGTCGCGTGGGGAGGACGAACGAACATGGACTTCCTTTGGCAAGTTCCTTGACGGTAAGGAAGAAGATGTTTTTGTTTGCTTGAGAAGAAGAGGTCTTTTTGTTCCCTAAAGTCGTGGTGAGAGTGTGTTCCTGGATGAGGCTCTGGGAGTTCCCTTTCAATGCAAGCGAAAAAATAGGATCCATATCTTTTATACACACTGTCAGGTTGGTGGGCTCTTCTGTTTCTTGCTGCCTTCCTGCAACTTCTAAAGGCTCCAGGGCGGGTTTCACAACTTTTGATGCCCTCTGAATGATGCCAAAGACGCACCCGTGCCATGCTTGCAAGAGATGGCTTGACCGCGGGTTGTGAATGTTGAGGTGATAGTGATAGCCACTTTTTTACGCAAGAAAAGAAGAAAGGTTCGGTTGGGTAGTTCTTACAGACAAAACTTGCACATTTAATAATGCGCCCTGAAAGTGATCAAGTGTCCCTTTACTCAACATAAGAGTTTCGAAAGCATTGGTGACCCCTGACTGATCTTGGATGGTGTTCGAACTCTCGGCTTTCCATGACATGATCGTCAGAACAACTTCAGGGCGTTGGCGGATGCCATGTTCCTCACCCGGAGGAGGTCCTCTTCCCGTAAATCGTGCACTGTTTGAGACCACAGCGCCACAACAACGCGGTTTTGGAGGCGCCGAATTGGATGAAAGAATCCACTGCCTTTTGAAGAGAAAACAAGGTACCGCCGCTAATAGTGACCCTGTGCGATTCGCACATTGCCAAAGTGGACAGTGCTCAAAACCTCCCAGTTTTTTCATTTTTTCATTTGGGAGAGTTTGGATCATATGTGCTTTCATCCCATTTTTCACAAGGGTCAGCACTTGTAAGGTGGAATTTAGATTGGGGAAGAGCAGAAAGTGCACTCTTTTTTGACGCACACGCGTTTTGCAGGTGTATTTTCTTTACACTTGCGGCCACGTTCGGGCCAACGCCTCAAGCAAATTTCCTCGGTTGTTCCACCGAAACTGAAAACTGCGGACATATTGATCGACGCGTTTTGCGTCACCCCACATCAACCACGAAGCATCAACTTCGTGACGCAAGTGCAAGCGAACGTTAACATGCCCCACCCCACCCCACCCCACCCCACATCTACCACGAAGCATCAACTTCGTGACGCAAGTGCAAGCGGACGTTAACATGCCCCACCCCACCCCACATCAACGAGGAAGCATCAACCTGACAGCACCATAAAATCGCGATTTCCTCTGGGGTCGCTAACAGCGGCGATAGCGAAAACAAGTGCTGGTTTGCTTTTCGCCTTCAGCTTGTCAGCAAACAAGTGGTCTTTCTCCCCAGATTCAGATCCATCGCTCTCCCGCGAGGACGTCCGCAGGTCGTGGGATCGTTGTTCAGCCGAACGCGACGACGTGCGACGTGTTTCGCGGTGCAGGAGCTTCTTTTGGATGCTCATGTGTTGCCACCTGTGCCCCTCTGGCTTGATTTCGCCGTCAGTGGTGACCTTGGGTCAGACGTTACTCGAGCTGAGGGACGCACTGAAATCGAGACAAGATTGGGTCCAGGTATGGCCAGGTCCATCCAAGCTATTTCAGGAAGCGTTCACCCTCAAATCGAAATCGGCACTACCTTTCAGTGCCGGCCAAGGGAATCGCGGACGGACGACGTGGTTTCTTTCGGTGGAAAAGCGTTCAGAAAGGTTTCGACCAGCCTCGACAAGGGCGTTGAAACCGCTGCCCAGAGTTTTGTTTGGACAAGACCACCAAAATGAAGCCCAGACAAACAAAGTAACTAACTAACAAACAAACTGTTTGTCCTTTTTTTTGGAAACCACCTTTTGAGCCTGGTGCCGGGGTGCCGAGAGAAAAGGCTGTTGAATCCGTGAGCCACAAGCCTGAGCCCGTGGCCTTTGGGAGTGTCCGACGGAGGGAAGCGAAGCTCATCAACCTTTGATATGCCCGCAAGCCGCTCCACGGCAACTCTCCAACTCCACAAGTTCGCAAAGGATTGCCCGTGATCTATTGTTTGAGTCGGTCGGTGCCAGTTGCAACGGCACCCGGGGGATCACCTCCTAAGTTCTGGCACGTCACCGCCGCGTGGTGCGCTGCAACAACTTCAGGCAGACGGTGGTTCCCGCTCCCCCTCGTGCTCGCTGCTGCAGTGGGCGTCCCAGTGGGACCAGTCAGTGGGGACAGGTATTTGTAGCTTTGCTCTACTGCACTTGCTCAAGAGATTCTCAAAGAAAACAACGAGTTTCCGATATCACCGGGGTGCAGGTCAAAGTATACGGAGGGTCGTAGCACCGAGTAGTCCGCCCAGATGTCGGAGCACCGAGTAGTCGGAGCACTGCGGCGCTTGGCGCGGCCTCATGTTTGGAGGCGTCAAGAATTTTCAACCGATTTCTGTTTGTAAGTGAAGACTGGCCAGCTATCATTGGTCTCGAGGAACCAACGCAAGATGGGGCTGTGTACATGGACCGAAATCTTCCTACAGCGGTGTTGTTCCGCTTAATCCAAGTGCCCCGCATGTTGCCCGATGGCACCACAAACGGGCGGGGTTGGGCACATTTGCAGAGACTGAGATTCTGCGCTCCAAATAGACCTTGAACTAGTAAAGCCAAGTATCACCAACTAGCCTCAAACGAAGCACGGCAGTTCACACTCCTTTTCCACCCAAAGCATCCGCAAACGCGTTGCCGACCCAACAGACGTTACCTCTCCTGTTCCACCAAGCCGCTCTCAGATGTTGGCCAACCTGCTCCGCTACCGGGTGAAGCGGCGCCTGGTGCGGCTGCAGATGATGCGCACGCGCTCGCAGTTGGAGGCGCGTAACGACCGGCACGCGGCGACCGGCGACGGGCGGGCCGAAGTGCTGAAATCGATCAAGAGAGGGGGTCGGGGGCGGGGGGGCGGCCATAGATGTCGTAAGATTTTTTGGGGAGAGGGGAATATGATATATATATATATACCGCTGTCTACTGTTCTTTGCAGGCTGCGTCCCTATATAGCAGGTATTCGTTCAAAGCAAGAGTTGTGTCTTTCTTCTTCTGCTTCTCGGAGGTTTCGGAAGAATGACACCTTCCGGAAAGCCTGAGACCTTCTAACCAGTTCCAACGCAACTCCTCCGGTTCGCACTGAACAGAAGGAAGAAACGCATGATGTGTCCCCACCCGCGACGACTGCATCAGGTGATCCAACCAACCCGCCCCATGTCCGATGCGACCCGGAACAAAACCCATCCGCCTTCACCCACTCCGGACGTGGTGAGTCCGACGTGTTTCAAGCGACGACCTAGAACCAGGCTCCCAGGTTTGTGTTGCTGACAGCTCGGAATCGAGGGGTTTTGTGCTGCCTCAGGTGTTGGGTGTCCAATCAATGTCCCAAATGCAGCCAATAAGAGGTCGTCAGGCAGCGTCACGCTTCTGTCAGCAGGCATCGAGATGTTTTCCTGGAGTCGTGATAGTCAAGTTCGTCGAATTGGACCACGCCGGACAGTCCCTTATTGTGCACCGCGTCGGCAGGGCGGACGTGGATGGCAGGTGTTTGCTCTCGTCCACCGACTTGGACCGGATGTCAATGGCACCGAGCAGTCCGGTAGGTATCAACTACGTCGTATCAAGCGAAGTGCTGTGTTTTTTGGGGGGGGCAATGGCGTACCACGCGAATCGATTGCAAGCAGTGTCACCAGCCTGACTATGAACCTTAGATTGCTTAGATGGTCTCACCTTGCATCAGGGTGACGCTCTTCTACTTCTGCTGCTCCTACTGGGAGCCTCATGTGCAGGCCGGTCTCGGGTGAAGAAGTTGGGATGGACCGAGATGCAAAGCATTTGCTTTGGACAATCAGAATGGACTTTGGAGTGATGTTTAGGGTTTCAACATGTTTCAACTCTTAACCCACAAATTTTCACGGAGGTTGGTTCCAACAGTGGCTCGTGTTCGTTGGGCACTAGTAGCTTCCAATCCAGATTCATGCGAGACGTGTAAAGCTTCAACGCCCAAGATGCTCAAAGCACGAAGACTTGGCAATGCTGTGGCCCCCAACAAAAGACACTCAGCTGAGCAGCAGACCTACACTCAGACTCCGCCGGAGGGAGCCTTCCATCCATGGAGATACCCTGCCACCCTGCACTTGACCCTGCAAGCCTTGGGGCATCTCACATTTCACTCCAAACTAATACGGAGGTGAAACGCACCGGGAGATTTGTCACGTTCCAAACCAGGACAAGGCGGTCTGCTACGGACGTCCTCGACTCAAGTGGAGAGGGTGGAAAGGGAAACAGACGCCTGGTAGAATCTGAGGGTCAGAAAGAAAGGATACAAACATACCCTTATAGAAGAAAGATAAAGACTTTAAGGAACCTAATTAGCGATGACCTCCATCCTGAGAGCAATGGCCTCCAACCTAACTATAGAATTATATACTATAGAAGACTCTATATTTAGAACTTTCTTCCTTTTCCTTGTTCTTGTTTCTAATAGCGACGACCTCCAGCCTGGAAGCGATGGCCGCCTACAAATAATTGTAATGGCCTCCAACCTAAAGTAATAGCAAACTATATTGGCAAAACCACCGGTACTCGTATGCACCACAGGCAATATGCTCTACAGGCATGTGTTCATTTGCGATAAGTAAAATGGAGTGTTGTGGCAAGCATTCTCAGATGCGTCAGCGCCTGAGATGGCATGCATGATGCCCGAAAAACAAGAAAAATGCGTCATGTACTGAGCGTGTGCTTGCTGTTGTCACTAAGCTTGTTTGTCATGAAGCAAAACGTTGGAGCCACACTGAGGGGTTCTTACGGTAGGTGAAAAGCAGCTGATGCTTAGATCGCTGAAGTGCGCCGGCGTGAACGGCTAATTCATTGCTATTTACAGTACATCCATGCTTCTCGACTTCGTCCATGTGCACTTCGACTGCGCAGGCTCGCAGAATCTGAGTGTCTGTGTCGGGTGCTTCTGGTGACTGCGCTCTCGTTGTGGTGCCGTGCGCATTTTCGGACGTGGTGGTCACTTTTCGTGGCAGGAGCAAGGGAAACCTCGTGTTTTGGCGCTGCAAAGTCGATTTTTCGTGACAGGTGCAAGGGATCGGAGCTCCTTTTTTTCGAAATGCAGTTTTCGTGGCAGGTGCAGCACTTTGGACATGGTGGTGATCGTCGAGGCGCTCAGATTTTGAGAAAGGTGCAGTGAGTGGTGACTTTTGGATATGTGGCTCGTTTGAAGATTTCGTGGCAGGCACATCACTATGTGACCCTCGATGCGCAGATTTCGTGCAGGCACGGCATTCTGTGACCCTCGATGTGCAGATTTCGTGACAAGCACAGCACTTTGTAAACGTCGAAGTGCAGATTTCGTGGCAGGCACAGCACTTGGTGAACCTCGAAGTGCAGATTTCGTGGCAGATACAGCACTTGGTGAACCT